TGTTAACATTCACATTGATAGGAGTGTAAAATAGCCCGCGGCCTGTGGCCGGCCCGAAACCCGCCTGCGGCTCGTGGGCTGCCCTGGGCGGCCCGGCCCGACCCGTTGATAATGCAATATTCACATTGACATGTTAAACATTCACATTGATAAGAGTATAAAATTTGCCGCGCCCATGGCTGCCACGAAACTAGCCCGCGCCCCGTGGGCGGACCGGGGCGGGCCCGCCCCGCCTGTTGACAATGTGAATATTCACATTGACATATTAACATTCACATTGATAAGAGTGTAAAATTGACTCGCGTCCCATGGGCGGCCCAGAGCGAGCCCGGTTCGGCCCATTGACAATGTGAATATACATTGACATATTAACATTTACATTGATAGGAGTGTAAAATTGGTCTGTGGCCATGGCGGCCAGGCTCCCTTCGCTACCGACGGTGCTCTCGCAAGGTAAGATCGATTGAGTCTTTTCACCCCTTCTCTCTCTGTTTTTGTTTTTGACTGATTTGGCTAAACCCCACTGTCGTCTTCAAGAAGAGAGGTATTTTACCCCAATTTCGGGCTTCCTGCAGTTCTTTATTGTACATTCGCTTCAAGGTTATGTACATTTTGTTGATTGCTGTGATGTGGGTTTGATATTTTTTCCCTTCTCTCCCTGTTCTTCTCCTTTATTTCATGAATACATAGAGTTGTTTATTTGTTATTTTTTTCCCCTTCTCTCTCTGTTCTTTTTCTTCATTTCATTAATACATATGTAATTTGGGGTTTGATTTCCTGTTTTTATTAGAATTCCGTGGCGTTGGAGAAGTTATAAATAGGAATGGCAACGAGACAAGAAGGGTGAGTTTTACACTCTCTGTTCCCAATCTCCAATTATTATTATTTTTTTCCATTTCCATTCCTCATCCCTAACGAAGACCATTTTTATTCCACCGTCTCGCCTCTAATGGGGTTCGATTTTTCCCGCCCCACAAATCCCTGACCCATTTTCGTGATCAGGAATGTTACATTCATCTAATTTGGTGCCGTCTGAATTGCATGAATTTGTTCACACTATTCATCTAGATGACAGGATGACAACTGCGGTAGACGAAGGTGAAACCAATTGTAAAGCATAAAGATAAAACTAATACCTATATTATAAGACATAACAACTTTTGAAAATATGTTAAAATGTATTTATTTGAACAAATTTTGAAAATATGTTACATTTTGTTTGAATGAGTAAAATAATTTCTAATCAATATCTGCGGTTGAGTTTAATTTTTTTTCCGCCCAAACACTCTCTACTCTCTCCCACGTCTGCCAAACGGCTCTTAACTCCCTCTCTCCACTTGCTCTCTCACACGTTGGTGGATCTCTCTCAATGTGTTGTAGTTGAGAGAGAGATGAGATGGGTGTTGTGTTCACGCACACTCTCTCTCTCTCTTTCTCTGTCTAGGATTCTCTCTCTCGATCCCTAATGCCGCCGTCGCACCACCGTTGCCAGAACCACCGCCTCCTTCACAACCACATCAACGACGCCCCTCTTCTGCAGCAGCGCCGTAGTCCGCATCTGCCGCTCTCCGAAAAATACTCGGCTGGGATTCAATGCTGAGCTTGGCCTCTCTGAAATTCATCCATATCCCTACATTCATAACAGTCCTTCACCGTTTTCTCTCTCTAACGTCTCTCTCATGGCGTCGACTCTCCGCCAACATTCCCTTCTCCATCCCCTCGCTCCGATCCAAACCCCCACAAATTCGCCTTCCAAAACCCTAAAATCTCCTCCCGATTGAGACGATATCTTTGCACTCCTACTCTCTCTCATCAAGCCCTCACTCTCTCTCTAGGGTTTCCGATTCTGCACTCTGTCCGTGTTCACCGCTCGATGGTCCCGTTGTTTCGGTGCCGAACAGACAATCTTCTGCAGGCTCTTCGCTACGCTGCTCAATTCGGCTCCCTTCGCTACCGACGGTGCTCTCGCAAGGTAAGATCGATTGAGTCTTTTCCCCCTTCTCTCTCTGTTTTTGTTTTTGACTGATTTGGCTTGCTACTGTTCAAACCCCACTGTCGTCTTCAAGAACAGAGGTATTTTACTCCAATTTCGGGCTTCCTGCAGCTCTTTATTGTATGTACATTTTGTTGATTGGTGTGATGTGGGTTTGATATTTTTTCCCTTCTCTCCTGTTCTTCTCCTTTATTTCATGAATACATAGAGTTGTTTATTTGTTATTTTTTTCCCCTTCTCTCTCTGTTCTTTTTCTTCATTTCATTAATACATATGTAATTTGGGGTTTGATTTCATGTTTTTATTAGAATTCGGTGGCCAATACAGACTTACAGGTTAAATTGAGGATTTTCTTATACTTGTTGCCACGGATATAGAAGCTTGTTCATTTTTATTGTCATCATGATCATCATCATTTTATTTAATATTTTTTTGATACCACTAAGAACATCCTTAAATTTATATTTCTTTAACAAAAATCTTGTAAACATCATGATGACGACGATCATCTCCATTTTTCTTGAGACAATTGCTTTATCAGTGAGATAGTAAAAATCATTTAAATGCAAGTTTAACACACAAAAAAAAAGAAAAAAAAAAAGAAGAAAAGCCTTACACCAAACACATGGCAAACTTGAATTCCATGAAAATAAGAAAAAAAATTTCACTATCCAAATGATTTTAGATTTTCCATATATATTTTTTTGGGTAGTTAAGAGTAAAATAGTTATGTTAAATCCTAATAAGAAACTGGTTAGGCGAGCTATTAGGCCACTCGTATTACTGGTTTTATATCTCTAAGTTGTGTTCAATTCAAGTTGCAAAACATGATCATAGACTAAACATTCTGAAAGGCATTTCCTTTCAGACAATTAAATAATGCTAGAGTTGAAGAGTTGATTGAGATACAGTTTTTTAAGAATCCATCTTTGTCAAAATGCTTTGCATGCAATTAATGTATTTCACTTCCCCCTCCTTCATAAACTGGTTAGGCGAGCTATTAGGCCACTCGTATTACTGGTTTTATATCCATCTTTGTCAAAATGCTTTGCATGCAATTAATGTATTTCACTTCCCCCTCCTTGATAAATCCAAAATCCATCCAAACATAACACTAATGTATTCAATGGGGAAAGTGATCTTTGTTTGAATTATAATTTCATACCATTATTGCAGTAGACAAAGCTGGAAATCCATTATAAAAACCCAAGTTTATCAGCCTCTTCTCATGTATTCACATGTGTGAAGATGATTTCACTTGAAGAGAATGTCAGCTCTTGTTTCAAGCTGGTCCAAGAATGTTCACACCGTGCCAGAAAACTTTGTTTGCTCATCTGAAGAAAGACCTGGAGACCTTGCAGTGCCTTTGTGCAGAGGCGTTCCAGTGGTTGATCTACAACAAGTAGACGGTCATGACAGAGCTGATTCAATTAAGCAAATTATGAAAGGTAGCCCGGATTTTGGAATGTTTTAAGTTCGTTGTAAATCCTTGCTTACTTAAATACACGAACACATACATATTTTATTGGAAAGCTCTTAAGACAACATTTTGATACAATTTACAAGTATTTAGCTCTTGAAAATGTATTTACTTTTTTAACACCAACCAAATGATGCCATTGACTACTACAATAATTCATAAAACAGGTGATCAACCATGGACTGTTAAAAGAACTAATGGACGACACAATGAGTCTGTTCAAGGAGTTCTTTGACATGCCGGAAGAAGACAAGGCCACTTACTATTCCGAGGACACGAGTAAGAGCTTCAGACTCTACACAGGCAGTTTTCCTCACTCTGTTATTAATCACAACTACTGGAAGGATTCAGTAAGACAAGATTGCCACCCTTTAGAGGATCACATTGAAACTTGGCTAGAAAAGCCAGATAGATACCGGTAAACCCTGCAACCCCACTACGCCGCTTAAATCTGTCTGGTCTTGTTGTTGCATAATACTTCTATGTGGCAGCAAAAAAAAATTTTGAATTATCTTTTTTTTTTTTTGTTTTTTTTCTCTTGGGGATTACTAATTGGGATTTGGGCTCTTTGAGTTGAGTTGAGTTGTATAACTGACTGATAAATTTTTGTTAATTTTATTTTCGGAGAGGTTGTTGGGACATATTCAGTGGAAGTGAGGAAGTTAGGCTTGAGGATTTTGGATCTTATTTGTGAAGGATTGGGAGTTGAAGTGGGGTATTTTGCAGGTGACCTGAGCAAATTCCAGGGAATGATAGTTAATCATTATCCGCCATGTCCAAACCCAAGTTTGGTCTTGGGAGTACGTGGACACTATGACACCAACCTCTTAACCTTACTTCAACAGGACGAGTATGGGCTTCATATCCTCAAGGATGGGCAATGGGTTGGTGTTAAACATGTCCCTGGTGCAGTTGTTATCAACATAGGCAGCCAGCTAGATGTATATCTCCACTTTGTGCTTAATCTAGGGAGCCTACATATTATTGTCAACAGAGCGGAGTTCACCATGCCCTTAACCCAGATCCATACAGTGGAGTCTTTGGTTCAAACAGGGAGAAGTATGCAAGAGATGTTGAAGATCTCATTACCTTTGGAACTTTAGGGCATGTAGCTGGTTTTATTTCTGAAGCCATACAGGTAAGCATTGTCTATGTAAATTTGTTTTTATTGTTTCTTTTTGTGGCTATATTGATTAGGGTAATGATGTACACAGGATTTAACACACAAATTTATGCAAAATGATGTGTTGCATTTATATCCCTGCATTGATAGTCAAATGCCCATCACTATGGTTCATAATTGCAAGAGTGTCATTGTCACATTATTTTTGTCTTAAATTCTGTACGAAAATTGTGTGAGAATATCATTTTCCTATTAATACAACCTCTTCCGAGTTACTGTCTAATTTGAACTACTCTCTAAAGTGGCAGGGAGTGGGTGGAATTATTGAATTGGCCCCAGGTTACTTCCCTGCTGTGTACAGCAGTATTAAGAAAGCATGAGGGCTTTGTATTGCCGATGAGGTTCAATCTGGGTTTGCTCACACTGGGAGCCATTTTTGGGATTTGAGACCCAAGGCATTGTGCCTGACATAGTGACAATGGCAAAGGTAAATCTATATAATATGGCAGGATGATTTTTAAAAATGTCCAAAATGATTTTTAATGGTCTAAATTAATTCTAAGTGTATATCAATCGTTAAGATCAATCCTTTCAAATGTACCAAACACTTGATTCCCGCCCAAATACTCTTGGCTCTCTCTCTCTCACGTCTCAAGCACTTAATATGGCAGGATTATTTTTTTGGCCTTTATAGATTTGGCCTCTTCTTCTTGGGGTAACAAAGTGTGTTTTGAGGGGAGAGAGAGAGAGTGAGTGTGTGTTTTAAAATTTGAAATTTGAAATTTGAAAAAGTGAGATGAGCGAGAAAGGATGGATGGGTGGGTGGGGGTGAAGAGTTTTTTTTTGTTTTTTGTTTTTTTGGGCTGTTGTGGCTCTTGGACACAAAGTGTGTTTTGTTGTACGTCGCGGCCACCGCCACCGTTGCCTCACTCTCTTGGGAACAAATTATGTTTTTGTTTTTGTTAGTATTTATTTTATACAAAATATAAAAAAATAATTAAAATGTATTATTTACTATAATTTGAGTTCAAATACTTAAAATACATAAAAATACATAAATCATGCAAAATTATAAAATTTTATTTTAAATTTGTAAAAATTATTTTAAAAATTTTTAAGTGTAAATTTTACAACATTACTCTAAATTTTTTAATTTTTAAGTGTATTTAGATTGAATGGATCTGAAAAAGTAAAAATGTTGATTAAAATATTTAAAAAGTTTACTAAAAGTAATAAAATACAGATTGAAAATTTTAAAAATTATTTTTGAAAGCTGTAAACTAAATAAGTTTTGAATTTCAAATTGTAAAAATTATTTTCAAAATATACAACCAAACTCTAATTATAAAATTATTTGAAAATCCAAACCAAACGGACCATCTATTTATATTTTGACAAATGTTGGGTTGGGTTGGGTTAGGTTTGGTCAATTCGAATTTGGATTAGAACAGACGTAAGTCTCCTCACGTCCACAGACGTAACTAGTAGTCTTCTTCTTCAGCTCCAATCCAAGTCGTTGTTAGTTCAGTTGGTGATAATCTGTGTCTGTCTGTAATGCATTTTGATCTCAACAATATTTATACCGTGCTTTTAGGCACGTGCATACACTAGTATATAAATTATTAATTTCAGTTCCATATCAACATTTTAAGGTAGCTTGGTTGGTTGAAGCTTGCTTCCACTTACCCCCAAGGTAATGTGTTAAAAATTAGGGTTTCACAACTTTCACTCTCTTTTCCCTCCTTTGTTTCTAGACCCCTCTCTCTCTCTAATCTTCCACCGCTTCAAAATTAGGATTTTATAACGGTCTCCTCTCTCTTTTCACTCCTTTGTTTATTGACGCCTCTCTCTCTCTATTATCTTCCATCGCTGCTCTCTCTCTCCATAAACCTAAACCCTTTTGATCTCTCTAGTTTCTATCCATTTGAGAAACCCAAAACCTTTGAAATTGTGTCATTCAAATCGTCTTTCTGATGGAGAACATGAAGACGAAGCACAAAAAAACCCTTAGACGAAGCAGCAGAAACCCCCTAAACCACACTCAAACCCTAAGACGAAGTAGACGAAAAAGAAGTGTGAGATCGTTTGAAATCCATCAAGCATCTTGAAATCTAGTTATTTATTTTTTTGAAATCGTCTTTCTGATGATGGAGAATTGCTTAAATTTTGCTTCAAATTGCTTGAGATTAATTGAAATCTGTATAAAATTGCTTGATTATTCTTGTGATTATTTTTGTTTATGTGATTTTAATATGATCAGGCGAACAAGCTTCATGAAGTGTGTTGAAGATTTCAGAGCTAGGGTTTATCTGCAACTTAACAAGATTTTTCAATGCTCAGTGGCTTCGATTTCTCAACCTCAAACCTCTAGTGGTCTTCTTTTACTGGTATTGATTTCTCTATCCATTGATTGCTTTATGACCACACACCCTCATCAAACTCTTAATCACCACTGTCACTATCTCTCTTCTCTCTCTTGATGTGTATTTTGCTATAGCATTGCATGATGTCAATATTTTCACTTTGACTCTATTCTTGATGCATGTCACAATATTTTCACTCTGTATAGTAATTTTGAAATTCATGTTCTGTTTTAGCTTTAATATGTGTTTCAGCTTTAATATGTGCATTGGTTCCTCCTACTTACAGTGAAAACTTCTACTCTATTTATAGACCAAATTTTCTCTTATGAGGTAGAAAAAGTTATTTTAGTAGAATTGAGACAAGTTTTGTTTTGGTATTACTCTGAGGCTTCTATTGGAAAAGCTTGAAAATCAAAGCATTCAATGTATATTGTGTCATGGCAGGCTGCAACTTGCCTACATCTTTGCTTGTGGATGTACAAATAATTTTCCATCACTACCGCCATAGATTTTAGTTATAAAAATGCAGTTCCTATTAAATAATGTTGTTGCTTCTCTTTTTTTTATTTTTATTATTATTTTTTTTTTATTTTTTTTATTATTTTTTTTATTTTTTTTTGGGTGACTCCTATATGCATGTCCCCACTTTTCCATTGTTAAAAAATGTGTATTGTTTGTCTCATCTTATTTAATTTTGCTTTTATTTCACGTTCAGAGTTTTTTTTGTCTCATCTTATTTTCAGTTATTTAGAAGTTTAATTTTATAAAAAATAGCCTTCAACCAAACAAGAAACAAACAAAACTTGAAAAAAAATGACCATGAATTGATTGCAGGTGTTATTAACTTGTAGTTACTATTTATTTGGAATGTTGAAGTATTTTTGGTGCGTGATATTTGCCTCTCTCCTAGTTCTTCCCCTCATCATTATGCTTACATATGTGATGATGTAACCATTGTTCTTCTATTCTATAGTTTTACTCAGGAAATTCGTCTATTTTTTCTTTATTTTGGAGAGGTGGTTCTACATGATGCTGATCCTAGTATGAGGACCTTCATTCATTCATGTTTGAGTCGGTAAAGATGGTTTAGTTTGTAGTCCTTTCACAATAGTTTATTTGTGGGGAAAAAATGAAATTATAATTTCATCTAACAATTATTCTCTATTTATGCATATCATATGATAAATCATATTTGAAAATCACTCTTCCAATGTTTGATTGCAGTGAATTTTTAGACCCTGTTGTTGCTGCTACATTGGACTTTCGAAATCTTAACAAGAGAAAATTTCTAACTAATTTCTCTACATTACTCCCTTAGGTATGATTTGAGATTGGCATGATTCTTTGCATAGGATTTAGTTTCTTTATTTGACTGAATTTTCAGATTTAGAAGTAGAAAAGAAGAAATATGAAACATGTATATCAAATATTTTGGTAACTTATCTTTCTCTAACATCAGTCTTGCATTTGTAGTTTTTCCCATTAATGCTAAAGCTCATGAAATGTAGAGAAGTAAGTTCCTTGTGCCATCTTTTTGGTTCCGTTCTTAAAAGATATATATCATTTATTTTATTGAAATGATCTTAGTTATAATTCGTGCAATTGTTGTGTCCTTATAACTTGATATTTGTATATGACAAATGCTAAAAGTGCTGGATATTAGGATTGAAATAAAGAAGCGTCTTGAAAATAGGTCAAACAGTT